GCCTGTTTCCGATTCTGTGTCTCCCTCTCTCTCTGCCCCTCCCCCGTTCATGCTCTGTCTCTCTCTGTCCCAAAAATAAATAAACGTTGAAAAAAAAACTTAAAAAAAAAAAATTTAAAGGGAAATTTATAGAACTAAAATTCTTACATTAGAAAAGAGGAAAAGTTTCAAATAGCCTAAGCACCCATTTGAAGAATCTAGAAAAAGAACAAAGTAAACCTAAAGCAAGAAGGAAGAAAATAATAAAAAGAACAGAAATCAATGGAATTGAAGCGAAAAATAAGAGATGATTTCACTGATTTATGAAGCAATTTGAGCAACACAATAAATTATGTACTATTGGATTATAGCCCAAAGTATAAAATAAATATACGTGAGTCCATACTGATATAGGTAAGTTATTAAATAAAATTTTTAAATGAAATTTTTAAATAAAAATTTTAAATAAAGTTATTAAATAAAATTTTTAAATTAAATAAAATTAAATTTTTAAATTTTTTAAATGAAGTAATTAAATAAAAATTTTAAAATCACCCAAGGAGATTCTTATAAATTGCTTAATTTTGGGAAACAATCAGATTCTCTAATATAAAGCTCTTGGCACATAAAATTTCAATAAACGGTAGCTATGAGAGGTAGTTGTGATAAATAATGTCTGTGTTTTATGACAAAACAAATTATTTCAGCAAGATGAAATAAGCCAGCAAAGCAAAACATGGACTCATTCTCTTCTAATGCCAAAGCTCGTTTTGTTTTACAATATCAGGTTCTCTCTTTTATAGTAGAATGTGACATATAAAGTCAAATATTTGCTTCCAGTAGCCCAGGACCCCTATCCCTTGCAACAAAAGACTGCTATTCTAGCTGAACTGGAGGTATGAGGACTCAAGACCCAAAACTAGAGAGTCACTTCATGCTCTAGGACTGGCTGTCTAAATGGAAAAGTAGCAAAGTTTCTTTCTCACCATTCTATAGTCGAAGACTCCTCTGGATACATGGCAAATTTGTTCTGCTTCTGTTTATATGCATTTTACTCCCTAAGTTTTTCTGCATGAAACGGATCCATATAAATATACTCTGATATTTTACTGTGCCCAGGAAGATCCCAAGCAAAAGATGGAAATGAAAAGTGACCACTGAGAAAGGAAGAAAGAAATGCTCTTTTAGGGCTGACACCCTAAAGCGATGCCCCTCCCCTACCTTGCGTAAGGGTAGGTGGAACCTGTGACTTGCTTTTAATCAATAGGATATGTCACACATGATGGAGTGTCACTCCCTTGACTAGGCTATGTTATGTGGCAAATGGGATGGGATATCACTTCCATGATTATGTTATGTCATATAAGACTCAGTCTTAGCAGACTGGAGCAAAAGACTCTCCCCTTGTTGGCTCTGAAAAAGTAAGCTGCCATGTTTTGAGACTATGTATGGAGAAGGCCACACTATAAAAAACTATGAGTCTCTAGGAGCAGAGGGTAATCCTCCATCAAAAGCCAGCAAAAAAACCCCAAGGACTTCAGTCCTCTGGCTGCAAGGAGATGAATTCCGCTAACAATCCAAATGAACTTGGAAGTGAGTTCTTTCCTGGTAGAACCTCTAGAACATAGCCCAACCAGCACACTGATGGCAGCCTTGAAAGACCCTGAACAGAGAACCTAGGGATGCTGTGCCCAGACTCCTGACCCACAAAAACTGAGATAATAAATGTGTGCTGTTTAAGCCACTAATTTTTTTCTTCAAGCTTTTTTAAAAAGTTTATTTGTTGAGAGAGAGAGAGCGAGAAGAGAGCGAGCGCACCTGAGCGAGCAAGCAAGCAAGCATGAGCAGGGGAGGGGTAGAGAGAGAGGGATAGAGAGAGAATCCCAAGCAGGCCCTGCACTGATAGTGTGGAGCCTGACGTGAGGCTTGAACTCACAAACTGTGAGATCATGACCTGAGCCGAGATCAAGAGTTGGATGCTTAACTGACTGAACCACCCAGGTGTCCCTTCAAGCCACTGATTTTGTAATAATTTGTAATGTAGCAACAGTTAACTAATACACTCCTTTTCCTTTGCAGCTAAGGAAGTCTACTCATAGAAGTGAAGACACAATGTCAGTTTCTCATCATTTAATTATCACAGAGGAAAGTCTGTAGGATCCACTAAACCAAGTCCAAGTGCAACCCTGGCACTTTGCTGTCCTTGGGGCAGAAGATGACCAGCCTCGCAAGGAGTGATCCATTCTCCTTGGGCTGGAGGGTAAAGACCCATCTGAAGGCTGTAAAGACCCATCAAAGCCCACAGCCCAGATCTTCAACCTAGTCCTTCCCTTCTCCATCCATCACCTCTTCATCAATCTCTACTTGCACTGCCTCCCACCTGCCAATTTAGCTCTCTCCAATCACAGACCAGATCTTTGGGTCCTTCCCAATTCCCCAACTCTGGCTTCCCTTTGAATTCTTGGTTAGGGAAGGTTTTATATTCTAAAGCCAGGTACTTAAAAGCGTCATCACCAAAATGAAATCAGTGTGAAGATTACGGTTTTCCCAAAGGGAAAAGAAAATGGAATCTTTCTTAAAAACCAAAAAGTTCATAGGAAAACAAGTCTATCCACTGGCACATAGCTTAATCCTCACATCTCCAGGATCTGGGCATTGGAGGTATGCAGGCATATGTCTAAAAATTGAGTATCTGATCTCACCTCAGCAGGCTTCTTGTGTTCTTTTGGAATTTTTGACTTGCTCCTATACATTGAGCTGGGAGTAAAGGAAGTGGAAGGACCTGAAAAAGATAATTAGAAAAAAAATACTGAGACTTCTTATTTGCTGATATTACTAAATGTCATATAACTCAATGTCATCCAAGAGAATATGAAAGGTATTAATGGAGAAGAGCACAGTGATCTCATACCACTGAAGAAAACAGTTAAATTGCAATCAAGAAAGACTCATAATGGAGTTTAACGACATTTATAGATGACCTCCCAGCATGTAAAAGCTTTGACACTGCTAATGCTGAGGAGATTTGATTGGGTGTAATCATACCTCATAACATTTTGGAATAACATGATTCATGTTCCACCTGGAGAAACAATATCTGCAAAAGCAACTGGAAAACCTAAAAATGTGAGGCAAGTAATCTGTATCCTTCAGCCCTCCCCCAAATGCTACTGTTAATGAGGTTGTTGCCTTTTACAAATGATGATTCATCCCATCAAACCTTTAATACCTGAGTTACAATTAGACTTGTGGGGCCCTCAATTTATGCTCCCATACTTTTTTGTCCTTTCCAGAAAAGCACTGTTAAATCATTATTAGATTTGGCTTCTGTTGTTTTGGTAAATGAAAAGTGAAAAAAAATGCAATATGCCACAAAAAACCCAATCCTCCCACCTAACTTATCTATTTCTAATGAAATTTAAGTAAGAAAAATAATACCCCAAGCTTTCCTTCCTAGAAACATTTTTTTTAACCACTGAAAGAAACATGAAAGAGCTTAAGTCAAAGAATAAGTCCTCAAAGAGTACAGATACAGAGATTACCACCTGTTGGCCAGTTCTACTCACAGTCATCTGAACTGTCACTGCTGCTGAGAGTTCTATGGCGTTTCATCCTGGAGCATCCTGGGAAAGAGAACAACACTGAATAAAACAGTCAATACACACAACATCCATCCCAGGGGGCAGTCAACACTGCCCTATAGATCTCAAGAAGCAGTAGCACGCAAATCACACAAATCAAATGATTTCTGTCAAGAATATCCTCAAATGACCTACAGTGATGGGAGAAGATTACTATCACGTTTTCCAATACGGAAGGTACTAAAGACTGGGGAGGCCACACATAGTTCTTAGGAGGAAGCCCATGCAGCAATGGATTAATGGTCTAGAATCAGCTGGAGCCTCAGATGTGACCACATCACTGTCTACCCAAAAGCGGGGATAGCCATGGGGCCATCACCAGCCAGGGAACCCCAGTCCGGGAGGAGCAAGAAAGGAAAAAGCATTTGCAAGGCAGAGCTGTCAAGGGCCAAGGTCAACAAGTGAGGCATGTCCCACCTTTAAGAGCACAACTACACTGCTCTTCTGTCTGCCCCTTTTCCCTCTTTTCTCCCTGTCTCCGTCCCCCAAACAACTAGCCTAATTTAAAATTATATCTATCTATACATCACAAGGAATGTTGTTAAAAAGCTCCTATACTGTGACAAATGCAGAATGGTTTTGACTAAACCTTCAGTGCCCTTCCTTGTGTGTGTGTGGCCAATGGCCGATAAAAAAGAGGCACCACTTTTCTGGGAACATACCAGCACTAGAGTATAAGAAAAAAGGAAGGCACCGAAAGTTACAAAAGAAGTATCAAAAAAAAAAAAATGAAAAGAAAAGACAGTGATACAACCAGTAACTGACGTTCTTTTATGTGCCACAGTATACAAGATGCTATTAGGGGCAATCATGATTCCATAAGGAATAAAGGTCACGACTACTGCTTTCGAGCCACTCATCTGCCAAGGAGATAGAAACCCAAGTACAAGGCCACCGTGAGCAATCAAGAGTAACAGACACAAAAGTGCATGTTAAAAAGCTAAAAAGAGTTCCGTTTCTGGCATTTCTATCACATTTTTCCAATACAGAAGGTACCAAAGACTGGGGAGGCCACATATGATTCTTAGGAGGAAGCCCATGTAGCGTGAAGAGCTTCACCAACCCACTCCACAGTGAAACTGGTGAAAATTACTTAAAAAAGAAGCAAAAAACTATTCATTTAAAATCCCTGGAAATGGCTCAAAGGGCATACAGCAAATAAAGCAGCCCTTATTAAAGAAAATCAACTAAAACTCAGTAAGTAAAGAAAGAATTTGTGGTATATGGACCTAGAACCACTTTCCTTCACCCCCTTTCTCAGCACAGATCTCATACCAGACTGGTACGGCCAAGAACACAGAGCTCCCTTTCCTCCAGCTCCCACTTGGAAGGCTTTCTTCCTGGGAGGAGCAGGATGTCAGCATTTTTCACCCTGCCCCGGCTACCTGTTGCTGAGGTTAAGTTCTACACAAGAGTAGCTGAATGGTTGGGCCTTTCTTCTTCCCCCACTCGTGGGATGGAGGCTATGCCTTGGGTGTGGTGCCACTGAGAATACAGAGGTTCCAACTGCCCTGACTCCAGCTCATCGAGTGGGGATTCTACGTCAGGAGAGGCAAACCTAGGAGACCTGAGGCTGCCACTCAGAGGGAAGTACATCATCTTCCCCACCCTCTATCCTAGAGCTATGGCTCAGAGATTTTTCCCAGGGAGAGAGGCAGACCACAGAAGAGAGGGCTCCAAATCTCTCCCCAGTGGAGCTGACTTCAGCTGGGAGGAACAGTCCTGGGGTCAGAAAAAAATCTCAATACTTATCTCAGGAACTATCCCTTCAAAGGAGCCCTAACTTGATTGGATCAGTTTGCGTAGCAATTTATGTCCCAGGGTATTATTAAAAACAACAGAACAATCAGACAGTAAGTACTTCAACTTAACAGCCTGGTGTGGTGAGGAAAAAGACTGTCAACAAGAGCCCTGTCAAAACCAGTATCGTCCCCAGGTAACTGGCGCATACCAAAGGCTGCACCTCTAAGGAACAACATCAAGATCTACACTGCAGGGCAAAGGTGGGGAGTAAATAGACTTCAGTAAAATAATCTAGCCTATCCTTAAAGAAGTAAACAAGCAAATAACAATAAAAAGCCTTGGGTGGGGGGTGCCAATACCCAGTGTTGCTACATTATGTTATCTAAAATGTCCAGTTGCCAACAAAAAATTACGGGACATGAAAAGAAACAGGAAACCTATGACCTATAAACCAGAAAAAAAGCAGGCAACAGAAACTGTCTGTGACAGCCATCAGATATCAGATTTAACAAGTAAAGACTTCAAAGTAGCCATATAAAGGGCACCTGGGTGACTCAACTGGTTAAGCACCCGACTTTAGCTCAGGTTGTGATCTCACGGCGTGTGAGTTCGAGGCCCGCGTTGGGCTCTGTACTGACAGCTCAGAGCCTGGCGCCTGCTTCGGATTCTGTGTCTTCCTCTCTCTCTCTCTGCCCCTCCCCTGCTCGTGCTCTGACTCTCCCTCCATTCTCTCTCAAAAATGAATAAAAACATTAAAATTTTTTTTAAAGGAACAAAGTGTAGATACATGCTACATAAAACATGTAAAAAAAAAAAAAACCTAGCAAAACAGTATGCTTGGCGAAAGAAGTCATAAACACAAGATCACTTATGTGATTCCATTTATACCAACTGTCCAGAGCAGTGGTTGCCTAGGGTTGAGAGTGAGAATGCAGGCTGACTACAAATGGGCACAAATTTTTTTTGGGGGGGGGGGGGG